AGAAAAAAATCAACACCACACTTCATACATTATTAAAAAAATGGGGAGCGTAGAGAGAAGCAAACACAATTATCAGACTAAGATCAAGCAGAGACTAATGACAACTAAAGATTATGTTTAACTTAAGTTTTCAAGTTTCTAAGAAAGTTGAGAAGATTGCTTCCCTGCATGTGTTAGAGTGAGAATTGGGACCATCTTGCTCTCGATGAGCTCTTCTCCTGTAAAGGCCACTAAAATAGTTTCTCTTTTTTGGGTGGCTCTCGTTGTTGAGCTTGTCATCTTCGCTTGAAGTACCTTTCGTCATTTTCTTGATTGTAAAAGTAGAAGAAAAAGATTAATGGATTTCTGATCAATGACTAATGAAGCCTTATGGCTTAAACTAGAGGAAGATATTTGAAAAGATGCATGCCGGCTGGCTCTGTGATCAAGAAATGCATTGAGAGAGATAGACCGGTTTCTGATCAAGATACGTAGACAGAGAAAAGAGAGTAGATCAGTACATTGTTAATGGGGACGTGAATCAATGAAATATGGATTGGCCCTCACCGAGAACTTGAGTAAGGAGTAGTTTTGGGATCTATCTAGAGTAAAATTTGGGAGTGAGAACCCCTTACAGTATATCTATAACACTATGGCTACATATATATAAATATGTATGAATTAGATTATTTCAAATCAAAAATATCTATTTCTAAAAAATATCTATTTCTATTTAAATATTTAGTCACGTTTTTGTTTTTCTTAGTCACGTTTTTGTTTTTCTCTCAATTTTTAAGTGGTTTTTTCATTTTTGAGCTTTGGAGCTAGCCGATTGTGAGCTTAGCTCGGTTTATTTTGGTTTGACTCGGCTATAATCAACTCGGCTCAGCTTAGTCGGCTCAGCTCAGCAGCTCCCATTCGATCGGTTCATAATAAATTCTCTTGAGCTGAGTTGTGCCGATATAAGTTGAGCCTAACCAAAATAAGCCGAGCCGAGTAGCCAACTCTAGCCAAAACCGAGACCGACCAAAAAAACCCAAGGAAAAACATAAAAATTTTAAAAAATCAAATAAAAAAAACAATTTGTAAAAAATAATATACAAATTCCTATTAAATAAAAAATCAAATAAAAAAAACAACCAATCAGCCAATTTACCGGTCAGGGGTCAAACCGCTTCAGGGCCATGTCCAATTAACCATTCTAGAACACTGAGTTGTACTCACCTTAGCTATGAAGAAAGAGAAACAATCTATTTGAGAGAGTGAAATGAAGGGGAGAGAGATGACTCGTATCACAGTTCACATTGTAAAGCAAAGAATTGGGATATAGAAACCCTAATTAACTTCTAAAAATTTGAAGATTGTTTGTTTGTAATTTTTAGACAACAAGTTGCAGCCAAAACGAAAAAAGATAGTTTAATTTGGGAATTAAAAATGATGTCTAAAATTTGCCCATGAAATAAAATTCCACAATTTTGCTATATTAAAATTTCACTGAATTTTGTTAAAATTTCACTGAAATTCTACAAATTTCAGTGAAATTTGTAATTAGTTTTTTTTTTTTTTTTTTTTCGTATTTTCACTATTTTATTTTTTCTCAATACCTCGGCTCAGCTTATATAGGCTTGGCTCGGCTTGTATCGGCTCGGCTCGACTTACATCGGTCATTCTTCTGTTGCCATTCGATACCTGAAGACTTTCCAAATCCCCATATGTTTTTCATTTAGCATGTGTCAAATTGTGTCTAAGTGTCTAACTATTTCAGGTAGTACCTGAAGATCAACGCAGGGCTCTCTATCCAACTCATTCTTTCAAGATTTTATTCTTTTGTTGTCAGGCTCGACTTACAAGCTCAACAGAAGAATAAAATAAGTCGAGCCTGACAACAGAAGAATGACAACAGAAGAATATATTCACATAAAATGACAACAGAAGAATATATTCACATAGAATGACAACAGAAGAATATATTCACATAGAATGACATATATTCACATATAATGACATAGAATGACATATATTCACATAGAATGACATATATTCACAATATATTCACATAGAAGAATGTATTCACAATATATTCTATGTGAATATATTCACATAGAATGACAACAGAAGAATATATTCACATGTCTAACTATCTTATTCTTCTGTTGTCAGGCTCGACTTACAGGCTCAACAAGACCTGATATGTTATTGCAAAAGAATATAGGCAGATTAAATATTTCATCATGCACATAAAGCTATGAAAGGTGACACATAATAAATCATTGAGGGGAAATGAACAACCAAACAGACACACATGAGTTCATCATTATTCCTTTTTCAATGACTATTTAACTCATGATTATAATTAGGTATAATGACATATCAAACAATAGATAATATCAAAGGTTGTAACATAAGGAACTGTCAAAACATACAAACATTTTAATGGAATTACATGAAAACAGATATTCTAACTGCTGTGTGTCCACAGTTGTGCATTATGAACATGGGCAACCCATCTTAAAAGGAGACTGAGTTACACTCCAACTAAATGTATATAAAACTTAACAGTTCAGATTCACTACTCATGAAGAATTATGAGAATTTAATTGATCCAGACATTTACTGATCACATATTCGTCGTGCACTACTGATGATCAAACCATGATCCATCCAAAAAAAGATTCAAGTATATAGGAAGTTGCAGATCCAAAACAAGAACATCAGAAGAAAGCTCACAGAGTATATGAATCCAATTCTGCATTGATAGAGAGGAACTGGACTTTTAACAATTCATAGTCAACATCATATATGGATCTAAAACAATTCTCGTTAAATGGGAAAACTCAAAGTGGGTGACAGAGTCCCTTTCCCAGACTTTAGTGACCTTGCAAAACTCCCTAAAGGAAACCTTTGAGCATAAGTTCGCAATAAAGAACATAAAAAACAAGACTCAACTCCGGAACTTCCTCTCAATGATAATTACAAAAGGGATAATTGTGAACAATCTCATATCAATGGTAAAAGCTCAGACACTACCGTAAACGCATTAAGCAGCAAACAAAACCAATAAAAAATGTATCCAACCTGGGACACTGACCTACAACTGTTAGATAATGGTATCCAACATGGACAAGAATGACAAATTCAACTGTGAATTTTTTGATTATGAACTATCAATTTGTTAGAGGCATGATCAAAAGGGAGAAAACAAAAAATCACATACTAGTTGATCTTTTTAAAAAGTAACTATGACCTCAGGGGAGGGAATTTAAAAAGTAACTATGACCTTAAGGGAGGGAATTTAAATGAAAACCATAATCAATATAAAAGGAAAGACCAGCAACCAAACTTATGAACTACTTTACATACTTGAGGTCAACTCCCATAATTTGTGGATTCAATGGATCAACTCCCATAATTTGTGGATTCAATGGATACCCAGTCACCTATAGAATGAATCAATGACAACATCAAAATCAAAATCAAAATTTTCTCTATAGAATGAATCAATGACAACATCAAATAAGTAAAACTCAAGCAACAAAAGGACTGTTTCCATGTATGTAACTCAGAAACAGCAACCATCATTAACAAATCACAGAATTTGGACAAAATATATATGGATCAGAGGCGAAGTTACTCCATCTTATCAATCCAAGAATCCCAAACATAAATATTGATGATTATTTTGGAAGCTTACGTAAGGCCACCAGCCTGCAAATACAGACTGTTGTGGCCACATAACCATGGCACCTGTTGGAACATCCATATGCATATAGAAATACAACTGTGACAATCAGAGGACCACAAAAGCTTTAACTTAGATAAAGCAGAATCCATCATGGGATGAATTGGAATGCCACTTCGGGAGTCCACACAAAATGATTTATGATGCCATGGCAAGAAGAAATACTCAATATGAAGTCCAAGAAAATATCACTTTTCTTCACAATTATCTACTATCTTATACAAGGATCAATATTCCCATAGAATTTAGCAGCCAATATAAGATGAATTAATCTCCCTCAAAATAAACAAGTCATCTAATGCTTAAGTGGCTCACCAAATGTTAGTGTTCCCTTGCCATATGTTCCATCAATCCCTTGCCATATGTTACAGTCAAAGTCTAGAAGTCAATCCCTTGCCATATGTTCCGCCAAGAAAAGGGGAATCAATGCCATTACGAGGGCACCAACTCTAAAGCTATGGAAAGCTTATGGGTAGAACTTTTACCAAGGAAAGTGATGAGGTCCATTATTTCACCTAAACAAAGTGCATCTGTCAGCACAAGGGAGATTTTTGAAATTTGACTTCTCGCAAGTATCTAATTTAAAGGCAGACATATAGTTGACCCGAAAAATTTTGCAAGTTAGACCCAGAGAGTGCAGCCATCAAGTGGATTTTGCATGCAAATACCATGAAGGGTCAAAGTGGCGAAGATGGATTAGGTGTCCAAGTGTTTTGATGCCAGCTATCTCAAAAAATGGTGCATGGAACCACCTAAACAAGCGCTCAATTAGCAAAAAAGAACGAAAAAATAGCTAAACAACTTCTCCAAATAACCTTCCCATTAT